AATTTTCAGCTTCCTAGCTTTTGTGGTTGCCGAGTTGAAAGTTGCGGACAAGTTGCTGCGGACACAAACACACACACACAGACAACCCCGTGACAATATGCGTTTTGTACTGCTTTTACACAGCACAAAATGCATAAAAAGTAGCCAGAAATAGAAAAAATCAGAGCTTGTTTCATTACCTAAATCCTCACACTCTTTTACTCGCTGCACTGCAAGTATCTTTGCAGCTTTCTGGCGAATTTGTAGGGCGGTTTATAAAAGGCTAAAAAATTAGGCTTCACTGAAGGCTGAGGAATGCTTGCTGAAGTAAGCCAGTAGCAACGGCAGCAGCAACAGCACCAGTAGCAGGAATCGCAAAACTCAACTCTTTCGGGTGCTCATCGGAAATTTCGAGTGTTTCTCAGTATTTAAAGATCCAACACTCTCAGGAAGAAACAATGAGTAAAACTCAAGCACCACTATATATTGTCATCTCGGTTGTTTGTGCAGCATATTTTCCTGCACTTCAAAAATCATCATTATGGACTTATCATCGGGATATATTATTACGGCTATAAGCAGTATATTCAGACACAAAACGTCCGGCTTATTACGCGTTTTATGCTGCAACAGTTGCACAAAACGCGTATTGTCGAGGCCCGTCTGTGTGTGCGTGTATGTGTGTGTATATGTGTTTGTGTGTGTATGTGTGTGTGTGTGCTTGTGTATGTGTGTATGCGCATATGTGTTTGTGTTCCGAGCGCATTTAATCCGAGGATTTCAATTCACGAACCAGAAAAGTTAGAAGGCTGAAATTTTAGGGGAGGAGGTTCCGTATCCGCGTTTGCCCGCGCGTAGGCTTCACGCACGGTTACGTGAAGGCTCTGGCGCCTAAACTAATAACTTGAGAAGCACAGAAGGTAGAAAACTGAAATTTTAGGAGAACGTTTCTTGTCCGCATGTGACCCCGTAAAGTTAAATTCACCCCTCACTTGCATCTAGATCTCACGTACGGACATGTGCAAGCTTTGGTGAAAATTACTAACTCGGGAACCGGAAAAGCTGGGAAGTCGAATTTTTATGAGAATGTCCTTTCCCGCGTATGACCCCGTAAATTCAGATTCAGTCCCCCTCCTCACTCGTACGCCTGGATCTTATTTAGAGACACGTGAAATTTTCGGCGCCGAAATCAACTTGGGAACCATGAAAACCAGGAAACTCAAATCTCAAAATAATGCTGCTATCGTTACATAAATCCGATAAAATAGCGGCGCGCACCAGGGTATCCGGTGCGAACATGCGTTTTGCGTAGTTTCGACCAGCAAACGTTTGTTTCCTAGGGATTTTCACTGTTTTACACTTTGGTTTGTGAAGGAATAGTCGATATGCTGTTTGTTTCCTAATCCGCGAAATTTTCCATTAACAACCTCACATACCAATACATGAAACCTGAATTTTAAACCTTGGATTATGAACACTGTTCCAAAATTATAACCTCCTAGTTCTCTGGCTTCCGAGTAACACTTGCGTCAAAACTTTCACGTGGTCGTACGTCGTAAAACTTGGGAGGTACGTTCGAGTTTATTAGGTTCCTGCATAAGTAGAAAACAACCTCCTCAAGTTTTCAGCCTTTCAGCTCTTCTTGCTCCTGGGATAATAATTTTGCCCGCCAGAACTTTGCGGAACCACGTAGTACTGTGGGACACGTGAAAGCTGAGTTTAAATTCGAGGGGTTGCAGAGACGTGAAAAACGCTTTGGTAAAATTTTAGCCTTGCAGCTTCCGTAATTTCCGAGATAATAATTCTCCCTGCCAAACCTTCACGAGGTCGTACATGGTACCCAGAGTAAGTGAAGGCTGAGTTTAAGTCTACGGCGTCGCACGTGAGCGTAGGATAGTCTTCTGAAATTTCAGCTTCCCAGCTTTCGCGGTTCCCGAGTTGAAAATACCAGATAAAACGCACTCGGAACATACACGCATATAGGGTCTCGACAGCATGCTTTTTGTGCGACTGTTGCAGCACAAAACGCACAAAAATTGCGCATGCCTAAATCTCAGGTGTGGATATGCGAAGGTTTTGGCGCCAAAATTAATAACTCAGGGACCACAAAAACTAGGAAACTGAAATTTTAAGAAAATGCTCCTTGCTCGCTGCAAATTGATTCCTGCTTAAGCCTAGATCTCGTACAACAAGTGGAGGTCTTGGCGCCAAAACTGATAACTCGAAAACCATAAACAGTGAAGTTTTGGCGCCAAAATTATCTCGAAAACCATAAACAGTGAAGTTTTGGCGCCAAAATTAACATATCAAGCAGTAGACACTTCCAACAGAAATGTTCTCCTAAACAGAGCTGCAAAGCACCAGCTGGAAAAAAGCGAGAGCGTAGCGATGCGAAAGCGTCCGCCAGACAGAATTGCACAATTGTTCGCTGAACCAGGTTGCGCAGAACGTCATATTTCATTTGTAAAGTGAGATAAGAGAGAGCACCGAGGTCCCAGTGCAAACACATTATCACGAGCAATTACCGCAAGCTCGGCTATCGACGTTCCCTCTTTTAAACATTCTTTCAAAAGTAAACGAAATGCAGATTTGGTGCCGTCTGGAGGTCTTCCAAGAAGGGAAGCTTTTTTTAGAAAAGCGTTTATCGTAGAGAAGTTAACAAGCAATTAACAGCATAACAGTTAATGTGTGATAAAAAAAAAAACGTGTCAATTTAAGAGAAGAATCGTGCGTCTTTTTTTACCTCACCAACAATGCAAAAACGCATGAAAACCAAAAATTTCAGTGCACCCACTGAAAGGAGTGGCACCTGCTTTGCTTGCTTGGCTGAGTACATTGCATACCACCACTCATATTCCCACCCCAAAATGAATGGTTTGTTTTGCTAAAGGCAGTTTGAACTGGTGAGGAAGACGAGGAGAAAAGCAAGAGGTGAAAGTGCTGTAATAAGCCAGACTACATTAGCCGGTCGTCTCATACGTGCACAGTTAGTTCCTCTCGGAAGTGAGGCAGCAAACAGGGGGGCTGAGAAGCGCTGAACCGTACCAAAGCAAAATGGAGTGAAGGCAATCCTGTGATGAGCAGCTGATTATAAATTTAAATTTGAATCCTCTTAAATGCTGATGATAAAACGGGTGACAACGAAGACGATAGCGATGATGATAATGGTGACGAAAACGACGATGAAGGTATGAAACCAATAACAACACCAGAAATACCGAGCACACCACCCGCATTAGTTGGTCAGAACTGTTTCAGGCTGTCTCTAACGACCTACCAACAGTCACGAAGATCGAAGAACATCCCGACGACTGCCACTGTGCTGAGGCGAGACGAGGGCGGAAGCGTCGGCTGGAAAGAGGTGCGAGTGAGGGATGCACAGACAAACTTCATCGCCGAAATGGCTATACTCGGCGCAGCTGGGTGAATCGTATCCCAGGTTCGCTGCGCGTATAATCGGTAGGGTGTCTGCTGTGGTGGCATTTCTGATTGTATCATTGATCCTGACGATGAGAATGATAACATGTGCTGCTGATTCCATCAGTGATAACAAGGTGGTAGCAATGACTGTGGTAATGATGATGATGCGAGATGTAGCATCCACAACGCCACTTAATCCACCTTTTCTTATACTACTCGTCGAAATCACTGGAGAAGATTTGCTGTTCTGTGCACAACATATTTGTAATCGTTCGGGAATGCATATTATTAGGGTACTGCGTCGACGGGGGGATGCACCCAGGAACAATTGAAAGATTGATTTTTGTCACCTATAGCTCAACTAGCATCCTTACAGTCGAAAATTCTTAATACACTTACAAACCCAACTTTCTCTAATGCTGTACTGAAGAGGCGCAGCTGTGGTATGAGAAAGGGATGTGTGCTGTTTAACAGATCGAAACACTTTTTTTTCAAGTGCTTTTCTTGCGTCTTTTGCTAAATAACTGCTTTTTCTGCCGATTAATTAATGCTTTCCTTTTATCACTCTTTGCATTTAACCTTTATTTTCTTAATTAAGCGTTTTTGCATATACACAAATGCAATAAATGGTAGCGCACTGCAAAACAGCCGGTGCGATCATGCGTTTTGTGCAATTTCATTCACCGAACGATTGCCTGTTAATGATTTTCACTGCTTTGCACTTTGGTCTGTGCAAAAATAGTTAAGATGTTGAAAAATATTTAAAAATTTCACGCACCGGTACATGAAAACTGGATTTGAAATCTCGAAGGGTGAACATCCTTCCACAATTTCAGCCTCCTAATTTTCTGGCTTTCGAATGATCTTTGAGACAAAACTTTCACGTGGTTGTATGTGAGACCTTAGCATATTCAGGAACTGAATTCGAGTTCACGAGATAATTTTCCTACCAAAATTTTCACAGGGCCGTACGTGGTACCCAGAGGTGCGTGAAGACTGGGTTCAAATTTGCAGGAGATTGAAATTTGGTAGGGGCATCGCCCTAAAATTTCAGGTTCCCAACTTTCGTGGTTCCCGAGACAATAATTTTCTAGCATAGCAGTCGCCTGTGACAGATTGCGTAGCCGGTGCTAAAGTCTAAAGTCTGACAGTGTTGGGCAGCCATGAAAAAAGCAAGAAATCAAATAATGCAATATTCACAGGAAAAACGGTGAATAAACGCTCTTGCGTAACGTTCACACTTTACAACGCGAGGTTCAGGCTTCGCTGTCACCCACTGACTTGGCGTAAGATTTGACTCATGTTGTACGTCCGCCTTGGAGAATCTTTCTGTGGAATGTCGACTGTCCAGTTATCACTAAAATTGGAGATCTAAATTTGATATTGATAAACTGATAGGGCTGACACTGGTAACAATCTGAATGGTTCGCAAAAAAATAAAGGATTTACACTGCACTCTTGTGGTTTGACTTCAGCTATGGAACGAACACCCCTTTCCCCCTTCCTACCCGTTTCCCTTCTCCCACCCTCCGCCCTTCCCCAAATGATTCATTTATTCGTCCCAACCATAAACTGACATTGGTACAGCCAAATCTTGTAAGTAATCCCCGGAAGAAGTCACTGAGGATATCGCCAACTGGTGGTTGCTGTCGACACTTACTACCGCTCAGAATACCTAGGAGTACCACCGCCTTTTACAGCAAGTAAATAGGAGGCGGGAGGGGGAGTCTGGACTTTTAACAGTTATGTCTGAACTGGACTTCTAATAACAATTATGTCTGCATCCCATTCCATTTTCAACCCAGGCTGGAACGCACCAGATTTGCCAGTGCGACCATGCATTTTTGCGACAAATTTGTAAATCGCTAACAGCAGGAATGGTCCCTACGCTGTAGCTTAACACTTGGACTCATACTGACTGTGTTTCGACCTCTTTTCGCATGTAGAGAGGAAAGGCGTCGACTAGGATGAACGTGTTACATTACAGGATCGCATAGACTTCCTGTGTACGTGACTACCAGTTTCTTGCATGTCCTGGTCGTTTTCCCGATAAATGCTTGTTCATTGAAAAAATGCAAATTTGAAGGAAGTCAAAAGAGGATTATGAAATCTGCAAAACGCGCTCGCTTTTCAGTTTGTGACAAAACTGAGTATTTCTCATACCCACCTGCAAGAAATTTCATCTCCAAACTGAATTAAGATCACACACGAAAGTAGAAAATTCTAGCGAAGTTTCAGCCTCGCACCTTGTCCAGTAAGCGAAAGAGCCAGTTCGCTGCAAATATCTTTTAAGTGTCGTAAGTCGTGGCGCAAGCGCAAATCGGAACTCAATTTAAGCTAACGATTTCCGATATGGACGATAAATATTCTGACAAAATTTCAGCTACTGTTTCCCGGCTAGTTTACGAGTTTTCCAGCTAGCTGCTAACTTTGAAGTGGCTGCACGTGCTGCATAAGCGTGCGCAGTGGTGAAATCTTTAGCTTACACAAGCCCATAGAATATCCTTGCAAAGTTTTAGCTTTTTATCTTGTCTGGTCCCCAAAGTCGTTTCCATTAAAGAAAATTGGCCAACGCACGGGCTGCCCGTGCGAAGATGCGTTTTTTGCATGGTTCCCCGCGGTTTTTGTTGCTACCGGCACCGGTTTTTTCGGCAAATGCTTCTAGCTAAACAAATTAAGGCTGGCACCAGAGCTGTCAGAAAACATTCCCTTTAATGTTTCAACTTTCTAGCTTCCCTGGCACCTGAGTTAGCAACTTACTGGAACAAAATTTTCACGGGCCCGTGTATATTTACCAAGAATACTCTGAGAGCTGGGTTCGAGCTGAATGAAACTTAGGTGGACGGGGTATATCCTCTTAAAACTACATTCCTTTAGCTTCTCAGAGGCTCAGTGAAACTTAGGTGGACGGGGTATATCCTCTTAAAATTGCATTCCTTTAGTTTCTCAGGTACTTAAGTTACATTTACAAGAAGAAAAAGTTTGGAGGGCCCCTATGTGGGTACCACGCTTGCCCGGGGCTAGGTTTGAGCCTACTAATACCCACTTGGGCGGGGAACATTCCCCCAAGATTTCAGCGTCCTAGCTTCTCAGATCCCCGAGTTATAAAATTGCGCAGGAAAAATTTTGGGGGATCCGTACGCGGGTACCACGCTTACTCCGGGGCTGGATTTGAGCTCATTAGCACCTGCTGGGGCGGGAAACATTCCCCTAAAATTTCAGCTTTCTGGCATCTCAGAACCTCGAGTTATGAATTTGCGCGGGAACAATTTTGGAGGGCCCGTACGCGGGTACCACGCTTACCCGGGGGCAGGCTTTGAAAATCCCACTAATAGCGGCTTGGGCGGGGAACATTACCCCAAGATTTTAGCCTTCTAGCTTCTCAGACCCCCAAGTTATGAACTTATCCGGGAAAAATTTTGGCGGGCTCGTACGGGAGTACCATGCTTACCCGGGGGCTGGGTTTAAGCCCACTAATACCCACTTGGGCGGGGAACATTCCTCCGAGACTTCAGCCTCCTAGCTTCTCAGATCCCCGAGTTATGAATTTGCGCGGGAAAAACTTTGGGGGGCCCGTACGCGGGTACCACGCTTACCCGGGGGCTGGGTTGGAGCCCACTAATACCCACTTGGGCGGGGAACATTATCCTAAGGTTTCAGCTTCCTAGCATCTCAGAACCCCGAGTTACGAATTTGCGCGGGAAAAATTTTGGGGGGCCCGTGCGCGGGTACCACGCTTGCGCGGGGGCTGGATTTGAGCTCATTAGCACCTGCTTGGACGGAGAACATCCCCCTAAAATTTCAGCTT